CCGATTCATCAGGCCTCCGCCCCCCTACGCAGCCATCTTCCTTCAAAGCCTTCCATAATGCGGATTGACATGCATGGACTTCTCACTGCCCATAATGTGTTCAGCGTTGTGGGCACCCTACTTCCCGCTCATACCATCTGTGCTCCCCCTACTTCAGTGGAGCAGTGAGCTCGTCAAGGCCTGGGGCCTGCTAGAACCTGAGCGCGCGCGAAGCGCGCGCGCTGGTTATAGTGGCCACCGGAGGCCGAGCGTGGGCAAAAACCTTCCGTCTTGATTTTTTTCAACGACAAGAGGACGTTTGGGTCACGCAAGCCGTGGATCCCCCTCGACCCCGCCCCGCTGGCGCGCCGAGGGCCCCACCCACTGGGATCGTCCGGTTTTCGGGTCATTGCTCGGCTCTCCAGCGGCCGATCGGGACGATCCAGGCACCCCCGGAATGCCCTAGGCGAGGTGAACCTGTGAACACGTCCGACTGACAACGAGAAAACCGAGGAGAAAACCTGACGCTTGCCGCCGCCTCCCACCCGTCCCTGCGCGCCGAGGGCCCCCCTCGCCCCCTGGGCTCCTCGGCATGCTGGTGCCGAAGCTGCTCGGCGTGGAGGAGGACGACAGCGCTGAGGGCCCGCGAGCACGCCTCTCTCAGTGGCCCCCTTCTCGACCCGATGCGTCCGATACGATATCGACTCCGGCTGGCTCGACCTCGACCCGTAATGATTGAAATCCCGACGTCGCATTTTTTAACATCTGGCGATTTTGCGTTGGTTTGGGCCCCGGACTCCTCACGGATCGATCGGGCTCGAAATATCTAGCAGTATGATGGGGCCCAGGGCTCAGGTTTAGATTTTCTACGATGTTTTTTTTGTGGCGTCGGATGTCAGGGCCGTCTCGATGCTAAGGATCCGATGCGATATCGACTGCAGCCGGCCCGACCTCGACCTGGTTCTGTCATCCCTGACATCTCGTCGTGAGTAAATCGCGGCGATACATTTTCGGACGTTTTTGGCCTCCTGGGGCCCTTGCCGGGCCCCTGGACCGTCAAGAGAAGGCTCGGGACGTTTTGGGTCCACGTTGTAATGGAGGTAGACGATTGAAAAGCTACCACCTCTGCGGGATAGCCTTCTTATTGTGTAGAGCAGACGAAAAGTGTGTGTGTGTGTGTGTGTGTGTGTTTGTGCGTCGAGCGAATTTATTTTTTGATCATCCCCATCTCGCCAGAGTTTCAGTGCGTCGCGTTGACCGTCGTCATCCCGTCGGTCGTCATCCCGTCGTCGTCAAGAAGCCGAAGTATCAGCCCCCCGTGGGCCGAGCTCCTTGGCTGGCTATGGTCATGGCCACGACAATTTTTTCATCGTCCCTTCCACATTATTCTCGATCGATTACCTTTATGCAGACAAGCACGACGTCAGGGTTCTGGGTCCAGACGATCCGACGGTGCACGATGCCTGCAGCGGCGTTGCCGCGCATCCCAGGCGTGGCCGATCCCATTCGACCTGTGGCTCCGTTCCGGAGCGGCCCAATTCGACGCACGTCCCGATCCAGCCCAGCGTCTGGATTCGATGCCGGCTGGTCCTGTCCCCCAGGAGGCGAAAAGGGGAGGAGGCGGAGGAGAAGGAGGAGAAAGATGAAGGGCAGGAGGAGGAGGAGGAGGAGGAGGAGGAGGAGGAGGAGGAGGAGGAAAAGGAGAGGAGGACGAGGAGCAGGAGGACCTGGCTGCACCGGCGCTCTCTTCTCGCTCCCCCAGCGGCGCCCCGTTGCGCTCACTCGGCGGATGGGCCCCCGCTCGCACCGACCGCCCCCTCTGCGCGCAGGCGCGGCTGGCGAGTCTCCGCAGGCGGGCTCGGACAGCAGCGAGGCGGCCGCGGCCCGATGCGGGTGGTGGTGGTCGTGGTGGTCGTGGTGGTGGTGGTGGTGGTCGTCGCCGCCATCGCCGTCGTCGTCGTCGTGGTCGTCGTCGTCGTCGAGGAGGTCGTCGTCGTCGTCGTCGTCGTCGTCGTCGTCGAGGTTGTCGTCGTAGTCGTCGGCGGAAAATGGGGTGGAGGCTGAGGATGAGGGGGGGGATTGCTTTTTTTGTTGGCTTGGTTGTGGGGAGCAATCGGTAGGAGCAGTGGAAAAGGGGAGAAAGGGGAGAAAGTGAACAGGGGAAGCGAGGGGAGTATGAGGGGGAAGGGATTTACGGATGGAAACGGACCGCGGTCCACAGGCCACATGCAGAACTTGGCCACAGCGCAAATCAACTTCAGTACCACCGTCGTAATCTCCTCCAGTTCACATTTTCAGCTTCTTCGATCAGCAGGTTGGGCGGCGTTTCTTTATCCCGGGGGGCCAGGTTGCAGGCGTGAGAATACGCGCCAAACGCACGCGTACCGAACATATGTTGGATCCCCCCAGTCCGCGCAAGTATATTTATTTGTGACGAATCCGCTGGCCGCATGCGTGGTTGCCCCCTGGGGCCTACCCTGGTGAAATTAGGTGCCAATTGCACGCGTCCCAGGCGCATAATGGACATCCACCCATGGGCGCATGTTGTCACGAGCGAATTCCACTGGCCGCATGTTCCAGACGAGCCTTCAGATATTTCTCTAGAAGGCCAGCATCATAATCTAGATCTCCCGTATATGTATGTATGTATGTATGTATGTATGTATGTATGTATGTATGTATGTATGTATGTATGTATGTATGCATGCATGCATGCATGCATGCATGCATGCATGCATGCATGTATGTATGTATGTATGTATGTATGTATGTATGTATGTATGTATGTATGTATGTATGTATGTATGTATGCATGCATGTATGTATGTATGTATGTATGTATGTATGTATGTATGTATGTATGTATGTATGTATGTATGTATCTATGTATGTATGTATGTATGAATGAATGAATGAATGAAGGAATGAATGAATTAATGAATGAATGAATGTATGTATATATAGGATATCAGTAAAAGGGCTTCGCCCTCTGCCGCCTGCGCCACGATGAAGATCTTGGCGGGAGGAACGGAGTCGAGGTGGAGGAGTTGGAGGAGGAGGAGGATGAGGACGAGGAGGCGAAGCAGAAGGAAAAAGAAGGGGAGGAGGAGGACTTCATGAGGTGGCGGCCGCCATGGTCGCCGCCGCAGTCGGCGCCGCCGGCATCGCCGCACCGCTGCTGCCGCCGCCGACGGTGGCGTCGCTGCCGCCGCCGCCGTCGGCGGCGCCAGGACGAGGAGCACGAGCCGCCAGAGCCCCGGGCCGCTCCCCGCGGCCTCTCGGGGCTCCTCAGGCGGGCGTTGGGGGGCGCTGGGGCGCCAGGGTTCGGGCCGCGCCGCGCGGCAGGGCTGGGTGCGGATGGGAAGAGGAGGAGGAGGAGGAGGAGGAGGAGGAGGAGGAGGAGGATGAGGAGGAGGAGGAGGAGGAGGATAGCGACGATGATTGTGGTGAGAATGACAGCGATGGTGATGGCGATGACGGTGATGACGATCATGAAAACGGTAATGGCGGTTGTGGCCGTGGTGATTTTGGTGATGGCGATGGCGATGACGATGATGATGATGCTGATGATGATGATGATGCTGATGATGACGGTGATGATGAGGATGGTGATGGTGATGTGTGGCCATTGTGGTGACGACGACGATGATGATTACGATGTTGGTGGTCGTGATGATGATGATGATGATGATGATGATGATGATGATGATGATGATGATGATGATAATGATGTTGATGATGAGGATGACGATAATGATGATCGTGATGGTGATGATGACGATGACGCTGATGATGGTGATGCTCATGCTGCTGATGATGATGCTGCTGATGATGATGGTAATGCCGACGGTGATTCCGATGATTATGATGATGATGTTGCTGCTGATCATGACCATGATGATGGTGATGATGATGATGATGATGATGATGATGATGATGATGATGATGATGATGATGATGATGCTGATGATGATGATGATGATGATGATGATGATGATGATGATGATGATGATGATGATGATGATGATGATGATGATGATGATTGTAACAACTTTAGTGTGGTGTGTGCTGGGGAAGGGGCTGAGGGGCCGCACGACCGCAACCGTTGTGCTCAAGCTTTTGAGGGGCATGCAGTGTGCCGCCACGCGCTTTCTCTCGGAGTTCGCGCGAGGGGCATCGCAGGCCCTGGTGGTGTGGTCGGCGACCTCTGCTGCTCCGCCCGCTTGCCCACCGTGCTCGTGCGAGTGCTCCCCGCGCTACAGCATCGCGTGTCCCGACGTCAGCGGGGCCAGCATCGTGCACCTGGTCAGCGCTTGGTGCAGCCACGCGGTGGCCTTCTTGCTGGGTATCCTGCTGGGCGTGTTCGTGGTGCCCGCGTTCTTGAGCTGCAAGCGGCTGGTGGGAAGTATCTGGAGGCGCTCGAGGAGTTCGACCAGCGTCAGCACCGCGTCAGTAGAGGCTACTTCGGCCGAGGAGATCCGATTGCTAGCTGCGAAGCAAGCACGGGCCGCAATTCAGAATGCCTCAACCAGGTAATGTACACGTGGTTCGCTATCGTGTGGGAGGCCCGCCAGTTTTCCATGAGAGGATCACGCTGTTCGATGTGCCTCCGTCTCGTGCTGCTATTGCTACTGTGGACGGGGATGTGTATGTAGAATCGGTTGAGGTTGACGGGGACGCCGAAGAGGTTCGGCCGTTGCGAGGCTTGGGCGCACCTGTCTTTGGAGTCGCGGAGGCGAACGTCTATCGCTTCCGAGCCGTGCCATCTGCCCCAGAAGTGTGGGACTTCCTGCGAGACGCTGCTTTGGTGCTCGGCGCCGCCCTGCCTCCCTCGCCGTTTCTGCTGGCTGGTGGGGCGGGAGTGGGAGCCGCATGGATCCCTCAGGCGCTGGCGCTGGACAATCCTGCGACCGCCGCGGCCGCGGTGGTGGCTGCTGCTGGCGGAGGAGGCGCGGCGGTGCCTGCACCAGGCGACGGCGCTGGAGGCGGCGGCGGCGCTGCTGTTCCTGGAGGCGCAGGCGCGCTCGCTGCCGCTCTGGGCGTGGCGATGCCTCCTCCCCTGGGGGGTGGCGGTGCTGGGGCGGGCGGCCCAGGAGGCGGCGCTGCAGCTGCTGGTGCGCTCGCGGCGGTGGCGCCATTGGCGGCTGCCGATCCTCGCGTCTTCCCGTTGGCGACGGATCACGCTGGTCGCCGCCAGCTGGACTACTCAGTCGCGCTGCGGGACGCTACTACCACGCCACGGGACGATTGGCCGATCAATGGGGCCAAGGACGACCCAGTGGTGCTTGGAGCACATGCGTCGGAACGCGGGCGGCCCGTTGGCCTGGCACTCGAAGTGGAAGGCGGAGGCGAGGCTTCGCGACTCGGATGCCATCTGCCAGCAGCATGAGATGAACTGCAGGCTGCTGGAGATGGCCACCTGCTACGACCAGCTCAACGCGTCAGAGTTGGCGGCCTTTGAGCTGGTCAGTCGGCAGACTCAGCTCATCGAGGAGCGCCACTACGAGGAGACGGTAGCCGCGCAGGTGGCGGCGGAGGAGAAGAAGGACAAGAAGAAGGGCCTCGGGGCGAGCGAGAGTCTACTCGCTTCGGAGGCCGAGCACTACATGGGCGTGTCGGCGAGCAAGGGCAACCTCTGCATCTCGCCAGCGCTCACGGAGTTCATTGCAGAGCAGCTGAAGGCGGAGGCAGCTGTTGCCAAAGAGAGGCGCAAAGCCCGCGAGGAGCGGGCGGCGCGCGCATAGGCCCTCGGAAGCTTCTCCCAGGCGGGTGCAGGCACCTCGGTGCCGCCTGGGCGACCCCTGCATTTTCGTGGCGGCCAGCGCCGCCGCCGTGTTTGATTGAGGTCTGGGGACCTCGGCTCGCCAGCCCCCTCGCAGCTCCGCGATGAAGCCTGCAGGGCGTCAGCGTGACGTGTTCCCTCTGCCGCCGCTCGCGCTGGATGAGCGCGCTGCTTCCTGTCGCAGCCGGCGAGGCCAGCAGCGGGCGCGGCGTGGGGCCGCGTGGAGGCGTTGGGCTAACGACGGCATCGCGGCGCTCAACCAGCTGAGTGGCCACGGTGCAGGTGTGGCGGCGCCGCCGGGGCTGACGTCATCAGCTGCCCAGGCGAGCGCGCTGGACCACATCAGCCAGGCCTTTCGCGATTTTCCTGTGCCTCCTGACTATCATGAGGACCGAGTTTCAGGCGAAGCAGCCCTTGCAGAGCTGCTCGCTTCGGCGCCTGGGTATTCCGCGGAGTCTCAGCGCGTCAAGCCCTGCAGCAAGGACCTGGTGTCCTGGCCCGACATGTCTACCGCACCTGTGGAGGTCACAGAGTTGGTGGATCAGGCCGATCGTGAATGCTTGTTGGGATGGAGACGGACCATGCTCAAAGGTGAGATGTCGGCTTCTGATTCCCGAGATGCGCCAGCTCCGCGGCGCCCGTACGTGGACCCGATTTTGGCCAACAACCCTCGCGCCTACGCTGGCTTCGTTGGGAAGTTGCTTCAGGGTGGTATGATTAGCTTTCGCGTGGCGCGTGCTGCTGATCCTTATAGTTTGGGATTTTTCTTTGTTGAGAAGGTGGGTAAGGGCACGTTGAGACTCGTGTTCGACACGAGAGTGGCGAACGAGGATTTCGAGCCCCCGCCCAAGACGACGCTTCCGACGGCTGCGGCGTGGTCCGCCTTGGAGTCGCAGCGTCCCGTCGTTCTAGCGCAGGGTGGCATCCAATGCGCATTCTATCACATGCTGGTGCCAAAGGGGATGGAGGAATGCTTCGCGCTGCCCACTATTTCAAATCAGTTGTTGGGGATTACTCACGTCGACGGATTGCCAGTGGCTACCGACTGCTATCTTCAGCCCATGGTGCGCGTGTTGCCGATGGGATGGAGTTGGTCGCTGCTGTTTTGTCAGAGCATCATGCGCAGGGCTCTAGTGGAGAACGGGTTCAGTGACGGATCATGGATCGAGGACGGCCGCCCCAGTCCTGTGCTGCACTCGCCTGTGAGTTTAGCTGCTGCTGGATACGTTGATAATTTTGCAGTCGTAGGTTGTGCTGCAAGCATTGTAACGGCAAAGAGAGATCAGATTACGCGGACGCTTGAATCGTGGGGGTTACCCATTCACTCCATCGATGCGGCTTCGCCGAAGACTGTCTTCACTGGTCTCGAGATCGACGGTGAAAAGCGCACTGTGCGGGTGAAGCCCTCCAACGTCTTGCGCCTGCGGCAGGCGATTCTGGCTGTCCTGCGGCGAGGAGCGGCCTCGCCCCGACTGCTGGAAGTCTTGCTCGGGCACATCACGTGGGCGATGATTTGTAAAAGAGAGACCCTGTCTATTCTGCATTCCGTCTACGCTTTCAAGTCCCTCAAGGACCCCAACGTCAGGCCTTTGTGGAACTCGGTAAGGTTTGAGCTCTGGTGCGTTGCTAGTACGCTGCCTCTGTGGTCCTCGAATTTGGGTATTCCTTGGGGTTCACGGGTCTCCGCCTCGGACGCGTCTCCTATTGGTGTCGGCGTCTGTGCTCGTGATCTGGACTGGCCCCAGGTGGCCGAGATGGGGAGGGTTACGGAGAGGTGGAGGTACAGGTGCACGGCAGCATTTACAGCAAGGGCTAACGCATTGGGGCTGGATGAGCTCCACCTGGAGGAGGGCATCTTGGACTCCGTCGCCGCGGACTACGTCGAATCGTTCAACCCCGAGGGCTCCGTCAAGGGCTTTCTGGAGGTCCCCAAGGAGATCGTGGAGGCCTCAGCTTGGGCCACGGTCATCTCGAGCAGGCGCTGGGATCCCATCAGGAACATCTTGGAGCTCGAGGGGGAGGCGTTGCACGACGCCGTTCGCCACGCGTCCCGTAACGTCAGCTTGCACCATCGTCGTCATCTCTTCCTCGTCGACAATTTGCCATTGGCTTTAGCCGCTGGGAAGGGGCGGGGGCGCAAGCCTGTCCTTCGGCGACCTTTGCGGAAAGTTGCTGCCCTCGCTCTTGCAGTCAATTTCCGATGCTATGTGCGGCGGCTGCCCTCTGAGTTGAATGTAGCGGGCGGCCCGTCTCGGCATGGCTTCTTCCACGGCAAAGGCTTCAAGGAGGCGGCCGCGGCCGCGCCAGGGACAGCCAGTGGCAGTTCAGCGCTCCATCACGCTGAGGGTCGCTCGAAAGCAGCAGCATCCACGGCCGATGCAGCTGGCGGAGGGCGCCATCAGCTTCCTGGAGATGTCTGCCGTCGCGGATTCGACCTGGGGGCGCTACAGGGGTCACGCCGTGAGGTTCCTCGAGTGGGTGACTTGGCACGGCCTGGACTTTCACTCGGCCCCGCAGCTGGGCGTGGCGCTGGTGGCGTTCATGACCGACCTGGCATTGGACGGGTTCGACTCCGCCACGGGGAGGATGTCAGTAGCCGCTCTGAGGCACTTCTTGCCCCAGTTGCTCGGCGGCAGGCGTCCTCTCCCTCGAGCGGCCCGAGCCCTCGACGGCTGGCGGCGACTGGTCCCCCCGCAGATGCGGCTCCCACTGCCGCGAGCTGCGGCCATGGCAGTTGCTGGTTGGATGATCTCTCGCAACTTGCCCAGCGTGGCGGTGTTCGTGGCGCTGGCGTTTCATGCGTACCTGCGGCCCTCGGAGGCTTACCGTCTGAGAGTGAGCTCGTTGGTGCCGCCAATAGCTGGGGCGGGGTTCAGCTCGTGGGGGATCATCGTCAACGACGCGAAAGCAGGCCGGCCTGGCAAGACGGGCGAGACCGACGAGTCGGTGTTGGTGGACGCGCCAGAGCTCTGGCCCGTGCTGCTCGCGCTGAAGGCCAACAGGGGGCCCGGCGCCAGCCTGTGGAACTTCAGACCCGCCGACGTCCGCCTGATGTTCGCCCGGGGCTTGAGGGAGCTCGGGCTGCAGAAGGAGTCCCCGTCCTTGTGCGCCCTCCGCCATGGGGGGGCCTCGCGCGACTTGCTCTCGGGGCCCCGATCGTTGGCGGAAGTGAAAGAGAGGGGCAGATGGGTGGCGGACAAGAGTTTGAGACGGTACGGCAAGCGCACTCGGATGCAACAGAGAATCGGAGACCTGCCCGTCGAAGTCAGTCGCTTTGGAGATCAGGTGCTCGAGAGATTGGCGGAGCTCATCGTGTGCAGTTTTGTGAAGGGCCATTTCCCGCTGGCTGTTCCTCTTCAGCCCGTGCCTGCCGTCCCGCCAGTCGCAGAGCGGGCGCCAGTTCTGACCGTGCGCTAGCTTCTCGTTTGAACGGGGCGTTTCGGCGTGCTCACGCGTGGGCTTCTCGCCGCAGGCGGCTCGTTTTGCTTGTGCTGGGGCCTCATGGGGCTCCCATATGCAAAGCGTTGCGCAGTCGCGGTTTGGGTTGCCCCTCGTTCGGAGCAGGTCGGAACGCGAGTCTAGGTTTGACTGAGCGAGTGGTGGTCAATCGAATCCTGGGCTGGATTCGGTCGTCCGCTGTCTGCGCTTTGTGGATTTCCTTGTCTCGTAGTACCTGGATGCAGCCAGGCATCCCGCCTCGCCGTTCCGTGGCGGACCCTTGGGGTCGCAAGTACGGCGCGTCCAATTCAGTGGTGCTCCCTGCCTTTCTGTGTGACAATGTCGAGATGCAGGCTGCCATTCAGATCTTGCGTGCTTGCGTGAAGCATCATGTGCCTGTGTGTTTCGAGCATCCTCGTAGCAGTTTGATCTGGCATGTTCCTCAGCTAGTTGAGCTAATGAACCACTCTACGTGTCTCAACGTTCAGGTGGACCTGTGTCAATTTGGTGCCGCAGCTCGCGCTCCCACACGTGTGTGTTGTTGGCACTGCCCCAGCTTGTCTCGCCTTGCTCGCGTGTGTGATCACAGTAAAGAATGCTGCTCGTTTTCGGGGCGACCTCACATGCGTTTTGACGGCCGCACGGCCAAAGGCGTAGCGTGCAGGCACAAGGCTGCCCGCTTTCCCGCTCGAGCCGCCGAGCTTGTGGCATATTCAATCGTTTCGTCGATCGAGGAATTGTCGCAGGCCCGATCTTATTTCTTGGGCGGGTTGCGGCCATGAGTTTTGTGTTACACAATGTACGTCTGTGCTGCCCGCGAGTGTCCTGGCCACTCTGGGAGTCGAGGCCGTCGTTACCTGCCATCGCCACCGTCAGCTTCTCTAAAAAGAATGTTATGGCCTCGGGGACCCGACCTAGCATTGTAACAACTTTAGTGTGGTGTGTGCTGGGGAAGGGGCTGAGGGGCCGCACGACCGCAATCGTTGTGCTCAAGCTCCCGAACCCACCCGCCCTCGCTTGAGGGTTTTTGAATCAATTTAAGTCTGCGTCTGTGCTGCCCGCGAATGTCCTGGCCACTCTGGGAGTCGAGGCCGTCATTACCTGCCATCGCCACCGTCAGCTTCTCTAAAAAGAATGTTATGGCCTCGGGGACCCGACCTGGCATGATGATCATAATCATGATGCTGATGATCTGATGTTGTTGATGTTGATGAATATGATAATGCTGATGATGCTGCTGACGCTGATGCTGATGATGATGCTGACGATGATGATGATGATGATGATGATGGTGATGATCATGATGATGATAGTTATGCTGATGCTGATGATGCTGATGCTGATGGTGGTTGTGGTGGTGATAGTGATCATGATCATGATGCTTATGGTGCAGTTGATTCGCATGATGATGACGACGATGATGATGGTGATGATTCTGATGCTGATGATGATGATGATGAAGATTATGTTGATGACGAGGAGGAGGAGTATTATGATGATGATGATGATGGTGGTGATGATGATGATGCTGATGATGATGGTGCTGGTGGTGGTGGTGGTGATGATGATGATGATACTTATTATACTGATGATGATGCTGCTGATGATGATGACGATGCTGATGCTGATACTGATGCTTCCTCCGATGACGATGATGATGATGATGATGATGATGATGATGATGATGATGATGATGATGATGATGGGTGATTCTTTTGGTGCTGTTGATGATACCGCAGTAGATAGGTAATTTCTGAACCCTGACTCCAGTGGAAGGGAAAACATGCCTCTGATAGCCGCACCCGGCCGCCTTCGTGGGCGCGCGCGCAAGGCGACGACGCTTTCGTGCAGAGGGTGGGAGGGGGATGATGATGATGATGATGATGATGATGATGATGATGATGATGATGATGATGATGATGATGATGATGATGATGATGATGATGATGATGATGATGATGAGGATGATGATGATGATGATGAGGGAGGAGGAGAGGAGGAGGAGGAGGAGGAGGAGGAGGAGGAGGAGGAGGAGGAGGAGGAGGAGGAGGAGGAGGAGGGGGCGGACGAGGAGGAGGAGGATGAGGAGGAGGGGCGAGGATTGAGGTGATCTAGAGGAGGAGGAAGAGGGCGGCTGGTCGGTCGAGGACCTCGAATTACTCAGTCTGCTGAGCTCATCGGCGGTGTTAGAGCGGCCACGGCTACCCTTAATCCCAGGAAGGGGCTGTACGGATGCCCACGACCCACATGAGCAAGGGTCCCTTCACCCCACCCTTCCTCAATGAACTCTCACTCCCACATCCCCCTACCAATATCATCCAGACGTGGCGGCTTAAAAACGCCTAGGGGATCGGCCATGCGGAAGACGAGGAGGAGGAGGAGGAGGAGGAGGATGAGGAGGAAAAGGAGAAGCAGAAGGAGGACTGACCAAGAGGGCTTGGCTGTCCCAGGCCCAGGGCTTACAGGATCCTGCTTCCAGTTTCCCGCTGCAGCTACTCCTCAGATCCTTCGTTCGTCGCGAAAGCACCTTGACGGCAGGCCTTCCCCTTGGTTTGGGGCCCTCAGCAGGCCGCTCTGGGCCCCGAGGTCGTCAAAACACGGCCGGGGATGAGAGACCGGCCCCTGGGCGTGGGTGGGGGCAGGTCTGGGGCCTGCGTTATGCAGAAGCATACTGTCGGGCTTGAGGGGTCTCATGACGCCCGGCCCTTCTCAGCCGACAAGGCATGTGGCCGAAAAAAAGATAGGGGACCGAGGACGTTCCCGAAATTGTGACCGAACCCGCAGCGTGACCGAAGTCGGGGCCGAATTTGGGAATCGTTGTGGTATCGAAGCGAGAATTTCGGTCACCACTCTGGCGCAGTCGGAAAATCAGGGCGCTGGTTCCGGTCACCCGCCCGCTGGCATATTTTCGAGCACAGTTTCTGCCATTGCACCCCCCGAAAGGTTTCTCTCCTCGGGCTGCAGCTGCAGGTGGCGAGCAGATAGGGCCGGGTCTCGGAAGCACCCCTCGACGGGGCTCCCTCGCCTGGCGAGAGGGCGTGGGGCCTGCGGCCCCGAAAGGGGGCCAGCCCCTCCAGAGGACGGCTGCGCGCGTGCGCGCCGCCACCCGCGCCCGCCAGGTGGGGCAGGGATCCAGGGCCTGGCCCCAACGAGGCCCGCCGCCGCAGGAGAAGGGGAGGGATGGAGGAGGGGAGAGAGATGAGGGAGGAGCGAGGAGTGAGGAACGCTGGGAGGAACGAGGAGGGAGCAATAGTTGGATGACGAGGAGGGAGAGAAGCGGGAAGAGGGGCAGGAGAAGAAG